TGCCAGCAGCTGGCAGCACGTGGCAGAGCTGCTGGGACAGGTGAGGGCCGCAGGGCAGCGCGGGGGGCAGCGCTGCAGAGCCCAGCGCAGCTCAGCGCGCGCTGTCCTGGCGCTGGGCGCAGGTGCAGGCTGTGCCCGCCCTGCGGGCAGAGCTGGCCCAGGCCCAGCAAGGGAAAGCACAGCAGGAGGAGGAGATGGTGGCCTATGAGGAGCAGAGGCAGCAGCTGCACTGGGAGCTGAGGAAGCTGCAGGGCTGCCAGGAGCAGAACAAGCAGGAGGTGAGCGTCACCAGGCCCTGGCAGGGCTCACGAGCCATGCGCAGACCCCTGCCTACCTCCTGCCTGGGACAGGCCCTTGCCCTGGAAAAGAGGCTGCAGGAGCTGAGCAGCCAGGCCCAGCAGTGGCAGCAGCTGCACCAGGACAGCGAGCGAGCTCTGGCCGTGCGGGATGAGGAGCTGGTTGTTTGCAAGGTGGAGCTGGCCTTCCTCAAGGAGAAGCTGGGCAAGGCCCTGGAGCAGGTGCGAGGCAGGAGCAGGCAGCTCAGAGCCCGTGGGCACAAGGAGCGGGGCTGGATCCTGGCCCGAGGGCAAAGCAGAGCCAGGGAGGGCAGAGATGCTGCGGACAAGCCAGAGCAGCACCCAGCACTGCCCACATTCCCCTCAGAACACCCTTCTTCGTTCCCTTGTTAGAAAGAAGCCCTTCATCATGAAACTAACATGTTACAGCAGAAGTTTGCGGTCACTAGCGCAGAGGTAACAGCCCCACCCCAGCACTCAGCCCCAAAGGCTGCTGCCCCAGCACAGCCTGGCTCCCGCGTGTGCCTGGCGCGCCGAGGCTGCGGCCAGGAGGTGCCGCTGCCAGGGCTGTCCCTTGCAGGCAGAAGCCCTGCGCTCCTCCCTCGCCGCGTCCCGCGCCAACAGCAGCAAGCTGCACCGGGAGAGCGAGCGGCTGCTGCTCAACATGAGGCAGTTGGTGACAAAGCAGAAGTGAGTGAGGAGCTGCACAAGGGCAGAGGGGCAGGCAGCTGCTTGCTCCGGGCCTGGTACGGACTAACCTGGTCCCCCCTCACTTCCAGGCAGTCAAATGAGAAACTAGAGCAAAAGATCCAGCAGCAAGTCAAGCAGATTGCTGAGCTGACAGGCGAGAAGGAGTAAGTGGTGAGCATGGGGAGATGGCCCGAGCGCTCTGCGGAGAGCGTTACTGCTGACCGCGCTAGTGCATGGGACAGATGAAGAACCACTGGACTGCCCGAGCTCCCCCCAGGGCAGCACATCAGGATGCAGTCCTGCACCGCCTTCTCACCTCCCTTTCACTGCCTTTCCTCCAGGCAGCTCCAAAACACACTGGGAAGGTTGCAGGAGGAAAACAAATACCTCAGGGTCAGAGCAGATGAGCAGCACCATGAGTGTGAGCGGCTGAAGGGGAGCAGAGCTCGTGGCACAGGCTGGCCTGAAACAGTGCTAGGCCTGTGCTCCAGCGTGTAGAGGGACAGCGGGGCAGCGGCTGCCCAGGGCAGAGCTTGGGCAAGACCTGCCTTTGCAGTAGGCCAGGGCATGGCTGGGCCAGGCTCAGGTTGTCTTTGCCCTGCGAGACAGTGTAACTCTGTGCCTTGTCCCAGGCTCTGCAGGGCAGTGACTTGACTGCACTGGCCCTGCACAGCTCTGTAGGACTGCCTCCCCCAGCACTTGTCTCCGAGACGAGAAGCAGCACAAAACAAAGCAAGGGTCAAAGACTAACAACCTTTAAACAAATAAAATTATTTTTGTTCTGTAGCAAAAGTAGTGCCAAGCACGGAAGCCGTCCTGAGCCACGCTGTGTCGCGAGCCGAGCAGGGCGGGAGCTTGGCACTCTCCTGGGACTCAGCTCCTCCAGGAAGGCCCCAAGCCTGGAAGTGGCGGGCACTGCCGTCTCAGAGGCCAAAGCGGGCTGGGGTGCGTCGCGGCGTCAGAGGCTCCCCCTGCTCCTTCCGCCCAGGGGTGTAGATTTTGGTAGACCTACCAGGAGAGAACAAGGGTGATTAGCAGAAGACACAAGACACAACCTTCTCCTGAATCAGAACTGCCTAGGGTGGAGGGAGGGTGTGGAGATTTGGGAAACTCCACGCAGCACCTGCTGAGGGGCAGCCCATGGTGGGCAGGACTAGGACCCACCTGGCGCTGCCCATGGGGTTGCGGCGCTCCTGCTCCTCGCGGCGGGCACGCAGCTGCTCCTCGGCCAGAGCCGTTCTCCTGGGCAGGACAGCAGCTGGTCAGGGACCGGCAGACACCCGGACAACAGCAGCAGACACTGCAGACCCCATCGCTCCACGTCACCGCGCACACCCACCGGGACATGCAGCACCAGAACAGGCATACAGGGGGGCTGTACGCAGCCCCAGGCACACACTCCCGCAGAGCAGCCTGCTTTCTGTTATTCAGCTGTCTGGCTCCTGGGCAGGACAGCAGCTGGTCAGGGACCGGCAGACACCCGGACAACAGCAGCAGACACTGCAGACCCCATCGCTCCACGTCACCGCGCACACCCACCGGGACATGCAGCACCAGAACAGGCATACAGGGGGGCTGTACGCAGCCCCAGGCACACACTCCCGCAGAGCAGCCTGCTTTCTGTTATTCAGCTGTCTGGTCCTGGACACAAGACTCACCTGGCTTGACTTGCCAGCATGTTTGATACTGTAGAACATGGGGCCCAGCTCTGCCAGCCACTCTCCATCCACAGCAGTGACACACTGCATGTATTCCTGCATGGACAGAAGGAAAGGGCAGGGTAACAGGATTGCACTGCCAGAGCCTTAGCAAGTGGATGAGGGAGAGAGATGCCAACAGCAGTTCTCAAACTGGGGATATACCCCTTCCAGGCTATTCCTCCTGGCTTCAGAAAGCTGCTGGGGGGTGGACTTGGTGAGACTGCAAAGAGCCTCAGCATGACCTACATCTGCCAGGAAAAGGCTCCTGCAAAGGAAGAAACAGTCCTCTGCAGATGGCACAGACACACACGGTTGCCAAGCAGGAAGGCCAAGAACTGTCCCTCTAACATATTCTGGTTATCACAGCAAAGACCTTGCAGGTCTCCTCAATCTTCTCACCAGTCTTGAAGCTCACTCACCTTGGTGGTCATGACCAGTTCATGATACACAATGTAGTCTGGTGTGTAGCCCATGCCAAACAGGGAGCTTGTGGGATGCAGGTGGCAGGGCATGCCCGTGCGGATGTTCACATACTCCCCAATGCCCTGCCCAGAGAAGGGTAGTTAGTACACACATGACAGACACAGCCTCTCGCCTCCTGAGCTAGCACAAAGCCCTCTCACCTTCAGCTTTGCAGCCTGATGGAAATACGCAGCACAGATGCACTTCCTGACAACATCCCAGTCGGTGCCACAGGATGCCAGGTTCATCCGCTGCTGCACCATGATGTCCTTGAGCTGGGCACGCACCTCGCGCACCTGCAAGGATTTGGAACAGTCAGGTCCCTCTCCTGCATAAGGCTCCATCCTGCAGCCTGTTGCCACAGCCTCACCTTCCGCATGGCCTTGGCATGGATGAAGTGCTGGTTGCACCACAGTGTAGAGTAGTTGTTGTTCTTCCACTGCAGGTAAACATTCAGGTAAGTCAAGTGATCACTCTCCGGGACAGCAAATTTCTCCCGCACCTGGTCGCTCTCCTCCTCTCGGCCCTGAGAGATGAGTAAAGAACACAGCTCAGGCACAGGGCAGGGGAAGGCCCCAAACCGCTGAAGGAGGGAGAAGGTACCTTAGGCCGATAGAAGATGGCAGGCACAGACAGCATGGACACAATGAGCAAGATCTCAGAACTGCAACCCATATCACAGGAGACAATGAGCATTTTGGAGAGTGCAGGATCCAGTGGGAACTCCACCATAAGACGTCCTGTGGAGGTCAGACCACCTGCAGGAACAGCACAGGGATCAGCAGCCATGCAGGTCCCAGCAGTCCTATGGGCTGGCAGCCTACCCCAACAGCCACTACCTGTGTTATCCAGTGCCCCCAGGATCCACAGCTGGTACATGGAGTTCAGCATGTTGTCCTCAGGGGGTGGATCCATGAAGTGGAACTGCAGCAGGTCCTGCACACCCAGGGACTTGAGCAAAAGCACCACGTTGGCAAGGTTGGTGCGTTGGATTTCAGGCACCGTGGTGGTCAGAAGCTCGTTCTTGTAGGCGCTCTGTGTGTAGAGCCTAAGGAACACACAAAGAGCACGCTGCCCTGCTCAGGTCGCTGCGTTCCTCACTGTGTGACCAGCGCAGAGAGGTGGCGACAGGGCAGTGGCTCTGCTCTCAGCTAGGCCACAAGCAGGACGCCATGGAGGAACCTCTTCCCCGGGCGCAGCGCGGCCTCCCAGCACGTAAGGGTCCCTGGGCTGCAGCACAGCGCGCACTCGAGCACGGCCCTTCCCCACACGCAGGCCGGTCTTAAAGCAAAACCCCAAGGAAGCTGCCTTTGACCGTGCTGTTGGAACGAACACTGGCAAGGGCAGAAACTAAAGCATACCTTTCCACCACAAGGTACTAGGTCCAAAACAAAGGGGACAAAAGCCTGTCCACCCCCTACACATATAACCAGAGACCAGGCTGAGAGAGTGACAGAAACCCAAATGCCAGCGAGGTACCTACCTGAAGCAGTGCCCGGGGCCTGTACGGCCAGCTCGACCTGCCCTCTGATTGGCATTGGCCTGACTGATGGGGTAAATCTGCAGTGCATCCATGCCTATGCGCGGGTTGAAAACCTGCAGGGCAAGAGAAGAGCAGAGAAAAACTGGGTCACTGTCTCAGAACTCCCTCAACGCAGCCCCACATCTCACAAATGCAAACAGGACAAGAAACCTTTTCTCACCTTCAACTTGCAGTAGCCAGAATCAATCACAAACATGATGCCATCCACTGTCAGTGAGGTCTCTGCGATGTTGGTGGCAACAATGCACTTCCTGACCCCATCTGGAGCCTGCAATCATACCATGAACCAGTTAGATCCCCAGGCAAGATCCCTTCCTCAAGGGTGCAGAACAGCAATATTTAACCCAGAAGGACATGGGAACTCTTCCAAAAATGAGGGCAGTACATGCTATCTGTCACCCTCTGCATGAGTACAAGCCGCATCTCTGCCCTACTCGTACTCAGTGGAATCTTCCCTGCACTGGCAGTCCCAGTCCCAGCCCCATCACTGATGACATGTCAGCACCTTCTGGAAAATCTTGGCCTGCAAGTCTGATGGCAGCTGAGAATAGATGGGCAATACAGCAAGAGCAGGTGCCTTTTCCAGCTCCTCAAGGTGCTCCACAATTTGCTCTGAGGTCACCTGTACACAAAGAGAGCTGTTACACCTTGAGACTATAGCACCAAGGGGATAGGACAGTGTCTGCCCTCCCAGATCACCTCAATGTCTTCCTGGCCAGGCATGAAGACAAGAATATCTCCAGGAGCACCAGACAGATGCACCTGCAGGGCTTGTTTCACTGCCGCCTCCACATAATCCTCTTGCGGGGTCTGAAAGGCACAACCCAGGTTACAGATACTGATGATCTCACCTTTCCCATCCTGTTCACAGCACGGCACCACAGGGCATCTACCCCTCTTCTTTCTTCGCTGCATGCCAGAAAGCACAAAAAAACCAAGCCCATCCCACCACTCTTTGCAACGCTGACTTCACCTTGCTGAAGAGAATGTCGACAGGAAACGTACGTCCAGGAATGTGGAAAATGGGAACATTCCCAAAAAAGGAAGCGAATTTATCTGCGTCCATGGTGGCCGAGGTGACAACAAGCTTCAGATCTGAGCGCCGGGCCACGACCTAGGAAACAGATAGAAGGAAAACTAAGAAATTGGCAGTCATACAAAGCTCCAGGCTGCTTCTATAACCACTGAGACAACAGCACTGGCCAAAACCAGCTCAAGTATTCCATGCCACTGCCCTCCTCTCATCCAGCCTCACACACACCTCCCGAAGGAGGCCAAAGAGCACATCAGTGTTGAGCGAGCGTTCATGTGCCTCGTCCATGATGATAGCACTGTAGTGGTCCAGGTCGGCCTCTCGCAGCGACTCACGAAGAAGAATCCCATCCGTCATGTATTTGATCAGTGTGTTCTCCGACGTGCAGTCTTCAAAGCGGATGGCATAGCCCACCTGGGAGGGCAGAGACACCAGCACATCTTCCCACAGCCCCATGCAGGCGCTGTTTGCACGGTGCAGCTCTGCACTCAGTGCTGGACTCACCTCCTCTCCCAGACGCACTCCCATCTCTTCGCTGACCCGCTTGGCGACCGACATAGCTGCAACCCTGCGGGGCTGGGTGCAGCCAATCATGCCATAGTCCGTGTAGCCATCCTCGTGGAGGTACTGCGTCAGCTGAGTTGTCTTCCCACTCCCCGTCTCGCCAACCACAATCACGATGCTGTTGTCCCTGAAGAGACAGAAAGAGTTTCTTCACACACCGCAGAGGAGGCCTGCCTAACAAGAGAGCAATATGAGCTTTTTCCTGGGAGTACAGCTTCGTTCAAGCCACACATCTAGGAGAGATTCTCCCTTGGGATCCTGTGATGTTAGGAAAACACCCAAAGTTGTCACTATAGCAGCCCTAGTTGTTCCCTAGCAGGCATACCTGAGAATGGAGAGCAGCTCTTGCTGCACAGCAAAAATGGGCAGATACTGTCTCTGCTCCAGGATCGATTTCTTCTTGGCAAACTCACTGCTTGCTTCACTTTTTTCTTTCATGTGTTCAGCAAACTTCTGCTCAGTCCTAGAGAAACACCAGAAATTCTGAACCCATCTCCCCACAGACTTTACTATGCCTACAGCCTCATCACCAGCTAATCAGGAGGAATAGAGGAGTAGTTCCTACCTGTAATCCACTTTGCCATCTTCCGTCACTGTTTCATCCTTCTCCTCTTCCTTCTTGATCCCCATAATGTCTCCCAGTTTTGTGCCTGCCAGTTCCCAATGTTTATGTTGAGCCTGGAAAGGTAGAGAGCACTATCACTGTGGCAACCAACATAACTGCAACTCAGAGCAGAAAGAAGCATCATTTTGACCCAACAAGGACTGACAAACCATCCTTATTCAAAAGATAAGGCTGGAATAGCACTAAAAGTTCAAAAAAGGGGCTATAAGGCACAATATAGTGTATTAAACATGGGCAGATAGGCCAAGAGGTCACACCATACCCTTTTACGCTCCTTTTGCTCCCTGTGCTTGCGCACCAGCTGGCTGCCTTTCCGAGCAATGATGGCCAAATCCGAAGTGGCATCCTTGACAGGAATGACTGGCTCTGGCTAGAGAAAAGAGACATCACTGGTATGAATTGCTCACCCTTCTGGGGCTCTCTGCCACAAGCACCTTTAGCCACAGTCCCCACCTGCTTGGTGAAGACTATCCTCCCATCTAAGAAAGGGGGCACGAGGTTGTGCACCAGCAGATGCACTTTGGCCGAGTTATCCTCCTCAAAGTCTTCATCCACTTCGATACGGTGAACCACGCCACTGGTCAGCATGCGATTTGTCTCCCAGCGTTCGTTATCCTACAAGAACAAGATTTATTTTGTGTAACACAAGATTTAACTACTCCCTTCCCTCATGCTACACTCAAGAAAATCCAAAAGACTCCTTATACCTACCACACGGTATGTATAGATCAAACCAACTAAAGGGCAAAGGGAAAAAACAACACAGATAACTACAAAGCACTACATAGCCACGGCCAACTCAGATCGTCCTTTTACACATGAAATAGCAAGCCAGAAGCAGCCAGTTGCTCGAAGCAAATCCTTCTCTCTGCCTGGGGCTATACACCAAAGTTATGCCACATGGCTTCAAGCACTGACAGCATCCAGAGCTGCATTTGCCTTTCCCAAACCAGGAAAGACAGCGAAGCCCCAGAAAAAAAGCCTGAGAGTTCACATCAGAATGCTGAGCTCAGGTTTAGGCCCTGCACTGAAAATAGGATGAAACTGAATAAATCTGGCATACAATGAATATGGAACACTGAAGATTCCAGCCTAGGGAGCCAAAAAGCAAGCACTAAGGAAGAAATGGTGACCAGAAACAGCAATTGCGTGAAGTACCTGATGAACAGGACCATCCCTGTGGAAATGCATGGCAAATACCATCCACAAGGCCCCTGCCATACTTCGAATACTCCAAGAAGCCTCAACACAAACACATGTGCTGAGGGCAACAGCCCTGACTCTCCACCAGGCAGCAGAGCACAGACCAAGGAACACAACTCATGCCCAGAATAGCAGCAGCACAGCCCTCCGCATTCCTGAAGCTCTGGATAATGTGATCCATGACCAAGTGCCTCTAATTAGGAGTTCTGTCCCATGCAGTAAACGCAGGGGCTCACTTTCCAAGGGAGCTTACCAGCAGTTTCCCTGGAATCCCTCATTCAGTGTGGGCCAGTACAAAGATTGTCCTCTCCATCCAACAGCAAGGGCTCAGCCTTCCCTGTCAGCACGCGGTCTCTTAAGAAGCGGCAGAGAAAGCACTCGTGCACGCCCAGAGCGGCCGCCCCGCGCCCCTACCTCGTTGATCTGCCGCCGCTGCGCAGAGATGCGCTTCTGCCTCTGCTTGTGCAAGTGCTGCTCCCGCTTCTTCACGTACTCCTCGGAGGAGTAGGCCAAGGGATTGTGGAACTCATCATAGCCCTCATCCATCATGTACCAGTCCCGGTCAGCTTGCTGGGAAGAGAAAGGGAACAGTCAGCTGAGGGCTGCATCTCAGCCTAGCAGGCCAGGGAGGCACTGGAAACCCCTCCTGAAACAAGCGCGCCCAGGATGCGGCACAAGCGCGCCCGGGATGCGTGTCGGGGATGCGGCGGAAGCACGGCTGGGATGCGCGTCCAGAATGTGCATCCGGGATGCAGCACAAGCGCGCCCAGGATGCGTGTCGGGGATGCAGGCCCAGGATGCGTGTCGGGGATGCAGCACAAGTACCCCAGCATGTATACCCGGGATGCGGCACAGCGCGCCCGGGATGCGTGTCCG